TATTGTAATCTTCATCATCAAAAAAAAAAAAAAAAAAAAAAACACCATTAACCCGCAATTTTCTTACTTACTCAAAAGTCAAGTTCTCGATGAGCTCAGATGAGTGCTTGATGTCTACTCATTGCTTTGTGATTAATGATGCTTTATTGTAAAATTTTAGATCTAGTTTGCAAGGACCATTTTGGGACCAAGTTCTTCGTATATGTATTTGTAATACCCTTTTATCAATGACTGAAATATTGTAATCTTCATCATCAAAAAAAAAAAAAAAAAAAATCACCAGCAACTCCATATCTCCGCAATTTTCTTACTTACTCAAAAGTCAAGTTCTCGATGAGCTCAGACGAGTGCTTGATGTCTACTCATTGTTGTGTGATTAATGATGATTTATTGTAAAAATTTTAGATCTAGTTTGCAAGGACCATTTTGGGACCAAGTTCTTCATATATGTATTTGTAATACCCTTTTATCAATGACTGAAATATTGTGATCTTCTTCATCAAAAAAAAAAAAAAAACACCATTAACTCCATTTCTCCGCAATTTTCTTACTTTCCGTTGAGATTTTCCATGAATATCACCTTTGGTATGTCCTTAATCTCTTTATGGTACAAATTTCAATTAGTCCATTCAAGAAAAGAAAAACCAATTTTAAGTCGACATAAGCCTTTATAAGCCCAAACTTCTCTTTTTTTCATCATTTGATTTTATGGTTTTAATATCAATTAGTCCACTAAGCCACTTGATTTACGAGGAGACACGTGGCGTGCTTAAGATCTTCTTAGAGAACGTGATCAGAGATGTTGTGACTTACACTGAGCACCCTCGCTGCAAGACTGTGACCACCATGGATGTGGTCTATGCGCTCTAAAGGCAGGGCAGGACCCTCCATGGGTTCGGTGGCTAGGGTTTGTTCGGGTTCTTCATGTCTTGCAATCAAGAAATGGTTGATGGGTTGGGTTTAGTGCTTAATTACGTATTAATTAGGTGGTTTAACTTTGTTTCGAATGTTAAACACCTGTTAGTGTTCTTGTAAGTCGCAATGGAAAGTGGTTATGGACTAAGTTTCCTATGTGTGTTAGGCATTGGAATGGAGTTGAATGAAATGGTGGTGTTTGGTCAAAAATTGTTATGTTTATATTTATATATATTTTTTTACTAAATCACTCCCTCACATGTGTTTGAATTGCAATAATTTGTATGCAAGCAAGATTATGTTTATTATATATATGTATGTATATTTACTTACTAAATCACTCCCTCACATTTGTTTCAATTGCAATAATTTATATGCAAGATTTAATTGAGCAATTTTTATATCTTCCTTCAGCAGAAAGAGAATGTTCGTTTGATCTTAATTCTTGTGGAACAAAAAAGGAAGTGAACTGGATCTGCACAAACCTCTTTGTATGATTATTACACTGATATGTAGATGTACGTTGAAGATTGAGCCTGAAATATTAAAAACTTAGTGGTGTATATATATATATTATATTGATAATGTTATTCTTATGTAATTGATTTTGAGGGAAAGGGAAATTTCGAGTACGATAGTATGTGCAATACTTTCAACCAACTCAGTTACAAATCTCTTGTTTGTGTGATAATATCAATATTACACATCATGAAATTATGAGTTTCGCGTGAATGTGCGATACTTACAAGAGACAAGTTGAGTGAATAGTGTGAATTGTGCTTTAGTTTCATTGCAAAAGGGAGCCAGCCGCATTCCTAACGACCACTCCCAGACCCATACATTTAATCACCTTAGACCATGACCCATCACAATTAATCTTCAAAACATTGGGAGGGGGAGGAGACCAGATCAGAGAGTCGGCATCAGGAGTAGTAGGAACGTGCGGTGACAACACCCCGTGCCCATGAGAAGTCCCCAAGAATTCAGTAGCAGCTTGGTTGGCGCGCGATAGGCAGTCACCCCTGGAGAGGGGAGCAAACCGTTGAAGCTGCAGTGGCACCACGTTTTCCATAAGGACACCGGAGAGAGGACCCAAGAGCAGAGATCCTTGTCATTCCCCACCTCCTCCTTGATAGTCAAGAACCATTGATCAAAAGTAGTAATAGATTGTGGATTAATACGGTAGTTTGAGGCACAGGAGAACCAAACTCCACTTGTCCAAGGGCAAAGGAAGAGGAGATGTTCAACAGTTTCCGGATGCTGCTTACACAACGGGCATGTGCGGTTGGTGCGGATCCTTCGTTTGAACAGAGCAGACATGGTTGGAAGACGGTTATTTCCAATGCGCCATGGGAAGAACCTGATCTTTGGGAGGGTATTGATATTCCAGATATGCTTCCAAAAGTCAGCAGGGATTTGATGAGACTATTAGGCAACCTTCCGGGAGGAAAGCTCGATCATGGTCTTTGGGATATGACAGAAAGCATAACCCGACTTAACAGAGTAAGCGCCGTTTTTCGTCCATGGCCATACAAGACAATCCCGACAGTCGAGACCCCCAATAACTAAAGATTCAATTGCAGCTACTTCTTCCAGACGTAAGAAACCTCGAAGAGTACCTAAATTCCAACTCCTAGTGGTGACATCAATGAAATCACATGCAAGCGATGGAGTATCGGCAGGATTGGAGGATTCCGTCCGCCGAGGAGTGTAGCCACTTATCCTGCCAAACATTAACCGAACAGCCATCGCCTACCTACCAACGGGCGCCCTCCACAGTAAGAGCTTGGCCCTCCAAAATGTTACTCCAGGCCCAGGAGGAGGCACGAGATCCCTTCTTAGCAGATAAGGCGTCACGCGTCGGAAAATAGATACCTTTTAGAAGTTGGGCCCAAAACGCCAAGCAATATTGAAGAAGAGGAAGAAGCCCAAATTCTATAAAGGCACAACTCCCATTTCCTCTCCAATGCATCCGACGCTCGTTGTCATTTTGGCCCCACCAAAAGTTAGCTGTCATGGCATCGATTTCCTTGCAAAAGGTCATGAGAAAAAGAAAGCAATTCATCGGTTAAGTCGGAATAGCCATGACGACAGCCTTGACAAGAACCGGCTTCTCAGCTCTTTTAGTTTTTATACATTTTTAGCTCCTTCTATTTGTGCTGTCACGATTAAGTTACGTTAACAATTTATATTACTATTGTTTTTTATCTTATTATATTTATAAAAAAATTAATACAAAATATTGATTTGGTTTAATCATGACCATACAAAATAGATGAGAATAAAAATGTATAAGAACTAGAAGAACAGAAAAGCCGGGTCGTTGGGGATAGGTACAGTGCGTCCAGCTTTGAATTGTCTGTTCGATGAATAATTGAGAGAGAGGTGTCCATGATGGATCCTGCGACCAAATCTCCTCTGGAGCCACTTCCAAAAATGGATTTCAAAGCCAAATTGATGGGTCTTGTAGATGCTAATCCACGGATCGAAGGGTTTCCAGGTGAGGAGACTGACCATTTTAAAATTGGAGATGGGGATTTTGAAACCTATGAGGAAACACGAGGACCTTGCATAAAGTTCATTGATTCAGTCAAATCTCGACTTCTTCGTCCATGGCGAAATGCCATTATTATCAAGATCATGGGTAAGGCTCATACTCACAATTTCGTCCTTGGCCGTTTGCAACAACGGTGGAGCATGCTCCAAGGGCGTTTCTCGCTAATTGATTTGGAAAATAACTTCTTTATTGTGAAATTTGTGTTAGAAAGTGATATGAATAATATTTTGTGCGGAGGACCTTGGATTATTGCAGGACAATATTTGGTTATGCAAAAATGGAGAGCTGGGTTTGACCCTCATAGTGAGTCGATCAACCGTATGGCTGTCTGGGTGAGAATTGTTGGGCTTCACGTTGAGTGGTACAATCCGGAAGCCATGAAAAGAATTGGGGACCTCATTGGCACAACTCTTCGTGTTGATGCGCACACTGCCTCCCAAGTTAGAGGTAAATATGCCAGAGTCTGTGTTGAATTGGACTTAACAAAGTCCCTAATTGCTAATGTCAAAGTTGAAAACTGTTGGTATGTTGTGGAGTATGAGGGTCTGCACCTTGTTTGCTTCAACTGTGGTTGCTATGGTCATCGTCGTGAACAGTGCCCTTCTTTGATTAGGAAACAATCTACAACTCCTGTTCCGGATGCAGAGACCATCCAACCTATGGATGAGGGGTCAGTCCAAGATCAAGTTTTGAGTTCAAATGGTGGTAAATCAGATAAGAGTAGCTATACTGAGGCTGGGAAGGATATGAAGATTCATGATTCTCCCTTGATTGGGCCCTGGAGTATTGTGACTTATAACCGTTGGGCCAAGCCGACTAACAATTATGAGTTGGGCCAAAATGCCAGGAAGTTAAGTAATTCTGGCTCAAGATTCTGTCCTCTACATGTAGAGGATGTTGATCCGAATACTATTGATAAAGCTAAATCTGTACATGGCAAGGAACATACAATGGAGAATACCATGGGATTTGAAAAGAAGAAACAAAACAGAGGCAGACCCAGGAAGGCTTTAGGGGGCAACTCTAACAAGGAGAAGGGAGGCTCTAGTGGTTTTAGTATGGGGGCGGCTAGTGGCAAATTAATTCTTGGAAACACCTCGTCCCCGCAGTCAAAATCCTCTCTGAGGAAAACCAATGCCAAGTCTAAGATTGCCACAAATTCTTCCAACGGCGTCCAAGTTAGTGGCATGGACATTCAAGAAAGTGAGTTGGGGAGCTTTAACTTTAATGTTGCGGATCCTCAAGCTGTCAATGACGCAGCAGACAAAAGTAACCAAATTTATGGGCATGAACCGCCGGATATTGATAAAAATGATACGGATATGTCGGTTGGGAATTTGCTGGAGAATGGAAGACATGTTAATGATGGCTATGTATCTATAGAGAAAGATAGGCTTCATGAAGCCATGATTGATGTTCAAATTGGTGTGGTGGGTGCCACCTCTACTCTGGTGGAGGCGCCAATATCCTCAATTTGATTGGGTCCATACCCCAGGTATTCCATATCCTTACTGTTTTTATGATGATTATGGTCTGGAATGTAAGAGGTGCTGGAGGGAAACCTTTCTCCGTTACTGCTAAAGATCTCGTCAGATTGAACAAAGTGAACATTTTTGCTATCTTGGAACCCAGAATCAGTGGTGAGAGGGCAATTGAAGTCATAAAAGGTTTGGGTTTTTCAAATTATTATGTTGTTGATGCCAATGGTTTCTCTGGTGGTGTTTGGCTTTTATGGAATAATGAGGTTGTGAAACTGACTGTTGTGGCTTGCTCCTCCCAAACAATCACTGCTGTTGTAATGGATGGCCAGATTCAGTGGATGCTAACGGTGGTGTATGCCTCTCCTTGCCCCCGGGTGAGGAGCCACTTATGGCCTTATCTTGATGGTGTTTCTGCAGCTTCTAACATGCCTTGGCTTATTGCAGGTGATTTCAATGAATTGATGCATAGTTCAGAGAAAAAAGGGGGTAGGCCTGTTAATAAAAATAGTGGTCTTGGTAATTGGAGCGCTAGGAATAGCTTGGTGGACCTTGGGTTCATTGGTGCCAAATTTACTTGGAGCAAGAAAAATGAGCATGGTGAAATCGTCTGGGAAAGACTTGATAGAGGCCTTTGCAACATAGCTTGGAGACACCTCTTCTCTGAGGCATATGTTAGGCATCTTGCCAAAGTGAAATCTGATCATTGCCCCTTACTTATTGGCCTCCATTCCAATCATATTCCTAACCCTGATTTGAAAGCTTTCAGATTCCAAGCTATGTGGATGCTTCACCCGGAATTTGAACCTTTTGTTAATGATACTTGGAGTAGTGCTCAAGGTGATGCTAGTTGCAAAACTATCTTTCTCTCTTCTGAGCTGCAAAGTTGGAACCACAATGTCTTTGGATGTATTTTTCAAAAGAAAAGAAGGCTTTTAGCTCGTATATGCGGAATCCAAAAGGCTCTTTGCATTTGTCATGTGCCGTATCTGTTTGACTTAGAAAAACAGCTCACCACTGAGTATAGTACTATCCTTGAGCAAGAAGAACTCTTTTGGCTTCAAAAATCAAGAAATACTTGGCTTAGGGAGGGAGACAAAAATACCAAGTTCTTCCACCTCTCTGCGGTGGTGCGAAGAAGGAAAAATAAACTTGAAGGCCTTAATAATTCTGAAGGAGTTTGGACAGAGGATAAAGAGACTTTAAAGTCGATTGTTGTCAACTATTTCAAAGATCTTTTCTCCTTTCGAATAACGACGACAACTATGGAGAATCTGCCTCACCTTTTCCCTTGTCTTATTGATGAAGATTTATTCGTCCTAAATGGGGAAGTAACAGATGATGAGATTAAAGCTTGTATGTTTGCTATTGGTGGGCTCAAGGCCCCTGGACCAGATGGTATCCCTGCTAGATTCTATCAAAAATTTTGGCATCTTTGTGGCAAGGATGTTTGTGATATGGTTAAGGTATGTTTCAATACAACTCAACTCCCTGATAACATTAATAATACCTTCATCTCGTTGATTCCTAAGGTTGATAACCCTACAAGCATGACACAGTTGAGGCCTATTAGTCTGTGTTCTACGCTTTACAAGGTCATCTCCAAAATTTTGGTGGGTAAATTGAGACCGCTTCTCCATAAACTTGTTAGCCCTACCCAAGTGAGCTTCGTCCCGGGTAGGCAAATTATTGATAATGTCATTGTTGCTCAAGAAATCCTCCATAAGTATAGGAACACCAAAGGTAAAAAAGGGTTTATTGCTTGGAAAATTGACCTTTCCAAAGCTTATGATCGTCTTCAGTGGAGCTTTATTAGAGATGTTCTTTGGGAGATTGGGCTAAGAGGGAAAATGTTGGAACTCATCATGCAATGCGTTACCACAGTCAATTACCAAGCCATTGTTAATGGTGAGCTCACTGATTCTTTCTCCCCACAATGTGGAATCAGACAGGGAGATCCCCTTTCGCCCTATTTATTTGTGCTTTGCATGGAAAAACTTTCTCATATCATTAATGGATGCATCACTACTAAGAAATGGAAGCCAGTTAAGCTATCTAGATATGGGCCTCCTGTCTCTCATCTCTTTTTTGCGGATGATCTTATTTTGTTTGCGGAAGCTTCCTCAACTCAAGCCAAATTATTGAAGGATTGCCTTGATATTTTTTGTGCCGTGTCTGGTCAGCAGGTGAATTTTGATAAATCATGTATCTACTGCTCTCCTAATATCTCTCGAAGTAAGGCTATTGAAATTGCCAACATCTGTGGTTCCCCTCTCACTTCTGATTTAGGTCAATACTTGGGTGTTCCGTTACTGCACTCTAGAGTCAATAAAGAGACGTATGGAAACATTGTGGAGAAAGTTCAACGTCGACTTTCTGCTTGGAAGAGCAATACTCTCTCTATGGCAGGTAGGCTTGTCTACCTACAATCAGTTGCCTCAGCTATTCCAATCTACTCAATGCAATCTACTCGTCTCCCAATTTCCATATGTGATAAAATTGATAAGTTGAACAGGAATTTCTTATGGGGTCACACTGAGGATAAGTCCAAGGTTCACCTAGTTAAGTGGGAGACAGTTTCCACACCTAAATCTATGGGTGGCTTAGGCTTGAAAGATACCCATGCTATGAACCAAGCTCTCCTTGCTAAAACTGGTTGGAAACTTATGCAAAGAGACCCGGGCCTCTGGGCACAAGTTCTGAAAGGAAAATATCTCAAACACCACGACATGGTGGGTGCTTGCTCTGCTAAGTTCACTAATTGTTCTCATACTTGGCGTGGAATCCTCTTTGGTGCCCAAATCATTCCTAATGGTATGAGATGGAGAGTCGGATCTGGAAGCCAAATCCATTTTTGGAAAGACAACTGGCTTGAGAGTGGCGTACTCGAAAATTTTGCTACCATCCCTCTTTCAGCTGACATGCTTGAATGGTCTGTTGATGATTTCCTTACTGATGATGGTTGGAATGTAGAATTGTTATACTCCTGCCTTCCCCCTGATATTGTGGAACATATTTTCAGTTTACATGTTGGGATTGCGAATCATAGGGAAGATAAGGTAATTTGGAGCCTCACCAATTCTGGAACCTTCTCCGTGAAAACTGCTTATCTCTCTCTCTTTGGCGATGATGATATCATTCCTTGGAAATGGAACTTCATTTGGAAACTCAAGCTCCCACCCAAATTAGTGACTTTTCTTTGGACTATTGGTCATGGGAAAATTCTCACCAATGTGCAGAGAGCTAGAAGAGGGTTTACTAATAACCCGTGTTGTCCAATCTGCCCTAATATTGAGGAGTCAATGGATCATATTTTCAGGTCTTGTAAGCAGTCCCCTTTCTTTTGGAATGGTGTTGGAATCCCTCCTGAAGTTGCCCATTCCTTTGCTCTTGATTTTCAGAGTTGGATGGCCATAAACCTTAGGACACAATGTTCTACCATACATGGTTTACCCTGGAACCTTATCTTTGCTTCAACTCTTTGGTATTGCTGGAAAGGGAGGAACAATCTTGTCTTCAACGATGGTCAACAACCGCCTGTCTCTCCCCAGAAGTTCATTTTTCAATTTGCAAGGGATTGGTATGATGCCAACAAGTCTACTTCTAGTAAGCCTCCTAGACAAATTATCTCAATCCATTGGATCCACCCGCCTATTGGTAGATATAAAATCAATACAGATGGGAGTTGTAATGACCCATTTAGGCACATAAGTGCTGGAGGTTTGATTCGCAATTCTGAAGGGGATTGGATTAAGGGATTTGCTGCTAATTTGGGCAGAGGAACCATCATGGAAGCTGAGCTTTGGGGTGTTTTCATGGGCCTTTCTATAGCTTGGGATGAGGGATGCAGGGATGTGATCCTTGAATGTGATTCTTGGGATGCTGTTACTTTGATCCAAAAACCTATTCTGGATTCGCACCCTCTCTACAATCTCATTATTGACTGCAAAGAAGCCATCGGAAAAAATTGGAGATGTGAAGTCACTCATATATATAGAGAAATGAATGCCTCAGCTGATCACATGGCTGACTTGGGTCATGGGCTATCCCTAGGCCTCCATGTTTTTGTTTCTCCTCCTACCTCTGCTAGTAATGTTCTAGTTTCTGATTCTATCGGCAGGGCCCTTCCTAGGGCTGTTCTTGCCTGATTTTTTTGTTTTGTTGCCGGGCTTTGCCCTCCGTTGTACCAAAAAAAAAGAGGTAGTGGTAAGCTGGAAAGTGACTTGTGACTTGTTCGATGAATAATTGAGGTAATGGGTCCCAATTTTGAGAAACAATTAGTGCAAGTTGCAAGTGGTTCAACATGATTTAATCTTTGTTTAAAACGGAGCTTCTCCTTCTTAATTTGACTTTTCCAAATATTGATTTGAGTAATTAAACTAACCTTCTCTAATATTTCTTACCGTTTAGCTTTTATAAAAATATAAAAATTATCAAGCTATTCTACCTGTGCTACCAGTAATTTGCGCAATTGGAAAAAAAAAAAAATCATCGTCACATTGTAGATGTGTATTAAAAATATTGTTTACTATCTATATTTTTTATTAGTATGATAAATATTATTTATAAGTTTGTACTACGTGATGTTTATATTGACTGAAAATTTTGGAAACAATGACATTGTACCAAACTTGGAAGAAAATGCCACCTAAAACAACCAGAACCAATCGAGTCATACTCAACTTTTTTTTTTCTCTTAAAAAGGAAGATAACTGGTGGCAAATCACAGTTATTCACTTTTTGCGGAGAGACTATGAGGAGTTTTACTCTACTCGTAGCCACAGTCAAACAAATTCACTAGCTATAAGCATCAAACTCAAGACCTTCCACATTTTTTTGTTCATTGTTATTGTCAAACGTTAGACCTTCTATATTTTTTTGTTTATTGTTGTCATAATCACCTTTGGTTACCCCGTATTAATTTTAAAAACCAAATTAAAGCATCTAATTAAATTAATTGTAAACACAAACAAAAGGTCAATGCTTCATTATTTTATTTGGCGTGTAAAAAGAGCTAAAGCAAACAAAAAATGAAAAAGGCAAAGTATTCGGTAAAAAGTTGGAAATTCATAACGAAGCTTGCAGGAAAGGGCAACCGAAAGATGACAACAAGGGCGGCAAGTTGCGGAGCATCTCAGTGCAAGGTTCGATCCAAACAATGTGATGGCGAGTGTTTAGTTTTTTCTTTTCACATTTTAAACAACTTTAATTTACAGGTGTTACATTGAATTCCGAATGTAGCACACTTCTTCAGCTAAGGATGTCTGTAAAAAAGCATCGAGAAAATATGGTTTGGTCAATTAGTTTAATTGCAATAAAACAAAGACATTGTTATAACTCGACCCGACTTGTATCCACATGCAACTCGAAAGAGTGATATTAGACCAAACAATTCGAGATAAAATTCGACACACCGTTTAAACCAGCTGATCGAACAGTGACGTGTGACCAAATAGTGTACGCATAAATTGAATGAATTTACATACAGTAAGACCGCAATTAAAGAAAGAAAGCACAAACCCTAGGCGGCTGACGATTTAATGGAACGTAGTGGGAAGCCACCACCTTGGATTTGATTAGATTCTCTCCTTCCTCTCTCTTTCCCTCTCTCTCTTTTTCTCCCCCCTTTCCCTCTCTCCCTCCCTTGCTTTTCTCTCTCTATCTTCAACCACCTCCTCCTCAATTTCCTGCAACTTTCACACCTTTGAGCAAGCCAGAGCTCCTTCAAACTCTCTCCCAGCAGGTAATTCCTCCTCAATTTCCTGCAACTTTCGCACCTTCGATCGGATTTCGTTACTTTCGTCAACGCGTTTGCGATTTGAATTCAGAACTTCGATTTCCGGTATTTTGCTGGAAGCTTCTGGACTGATTTCAATTTCGCTTATTTTGATTTCGTTTCCGTCGAATTTAGTAGATCTGGTTGACCCCACCCACCACCCCCACCTCCCCCCCCCCCCTCTCCCCACATCGGTTTCATTGGCTGTTTTTGGCTTTTGGAAAATGTTTGATTGTTTTTTCGATCAGAGTGGAAGTGCTTATTTATTAAGCCGTAAACTTTCTCTTTTTATATGGATCGTCCGGACTTGTTTCGTTTGAATCGTAACGCTTTGAATTGAAACACTACTAGAAATTCGTTTTTTGGGTTATTTATTACAGCATAAACAGCACGGATAAAGGGTCTCTGTTTCTGCTTATGCTTTTGGGAAAAGTGCTTCTGTTTTGTTGGATCTATTAGGGTTTTAATTTGGTGTTTAGATTGTTGCTTGGTTACTTAATTATTCTAGAAAATGATCTTAGAGTTGGCAAATTGGTTTGAGTATAGTTTTCATATTATATCTATATATATTTGTTAGTATTATTTTGCAAGTCATATTGCATAATTGCATCTGTTCACACAATATGTAAATTTTTTTTTTTCCCCACTTTTCGTTTTTCAATTTGCCGATCAGCCATGATGCGTTCTTTACTTGTCTACAGATATGTGTGAATTGTTACTTTGAAGTCTGTATATCGTACTTTCCCGATTAGTCTATTTCGTTGACTTAGAGTTTGCTGTTTTATCTTCGAGTTCGTTTACATGTGCTATTGGGTTCGCTTGCTAATGTATAGCTTTGATTTTTGTTTTGTTTGTGTGCAGGATATTGAAATTGGTAGTGTGATAGCTAGAAGAAGTGGAGAAAGCGCACGGTCGTATTAGCTAACTAAATTTGGTTTTTAGAAAAATAGTGTAGCTGCATAATTATCATAGTGGAGGTCTTGAAAGTGACTTCAGAACGAATTCAGGGTCCTGCTAATTGCTATTGACTTTGATTTATAGACGAGAAGGGGTAATATAAGATTGCAAAATCTTGGAATCATGCCGGTTTCGGGAAATGAAGAGGTGTTTATTTCCTTTCTGAAAACTGCTAACTGAGATCAGAGTCTCCTTTAAATTTATTGTTTTTCTGAATATTGATCAATTAAATCTTTTGTTGGCAGACTGGGGTTAAACCCGTCACCCGGAAATCTAGTGATTATAGTGCAGGTGTTCCTATCAAGAAAAGGAGGTTTTTCATGAGGCCTCCTTCACCTCCTCCTGAAGAACCAATTTTGTTTCCGAAAGAAGAACTATCTTCTTTTCCAGCAAAAATTGATTCAGTACAGGAGGAATCTTGGGGGTCGACTCCTTCATATGTTAGTATCACCAGTTCTGGACTTTCTGATGCAAACAAGATTCCTGAATCCGATTATGGAAAAGGAAACTCTGACGTTGCAAATGTTAGTGTGGCCCGAGGAAATGATAATATCTTTAGAGTCAAACTTGAAGAACCTAGCCTCAGGATTCACTCGAGTTCTTTGGATGACATGCAGAGGAAAGGGAAGCTTGTCTTGTCTGATAATCCTACACCTGAGTTGACTTTAAGGAAAAGTGAATTGACTTTAGCATCAAATGAAGCTCTTGCATCTAATGTAGGTAAGGAGACTTTGCAGAGCCGAAGTAAAGTAGAAGTGAAGTGCAAAGAAGAAGTGCCTGCTGTTGCTGAGAGTACTGAATTATCATTAGGTTTAAGGGAACATCTTGCTCCAGCATTGACAGGACAGGTTATTGGTGATGGCAGGAGTTACCGGAATCTGGGTAACTTGGAGCCTATGTCACTGGATTTGTCATTAAGTAAAGAAAAAACCAGCAGCCAATGCGAAAGTAGTGCTAAAGGTTTGAATTCCCTTGGTGCTGATATGAGTGCATGTCGAGCAAACTGGGATTTGAATACACCAATGGATGCATGGACAGATACTGTTAGCGATTCTTCCGTATCCTTTTATGGGAGTAATGCAACTGGTGGGGTGAATTGCACAACTGGGTTAGTTGGAGCTGGTGTTAACAAAGAAGAACTGTCCATTGTTCAGACTCAGAACAGAGGTAATGAGCCCGTCTCATCCACACTTGCTAACCAGTACTCCAGTGACTCCCTTCTTTTGCGCCTTAGTTCATCTTGCTTGCAGTTAAACCAGTGCCAAAACCCTTCTAGTTCGTCCAGTAAACTGGATTTACATAGGGTGATATCTGCTACAAACGTACCTAGATTGTTTGGGCCAATTAGAAATTTGAACTTGGGTAATCATAAAACTGTGAAATCAGAACCATTTGATGAGGGTGTCAAACTGGATGTTAACGTATCTAAACCCAGTAACACAGGATTAGTAGATAGTAGTAGAGCAGTGAAGTGTGGAGTTGTTGAGCAGGGGAATCTTGGAGCTGTTAAGTCTTCAAATACGAGCACCCAACATTCAGTCGATGCTAGACCCATAAAATCTGAACCAACTCATGTGGATACTCAAGAAACCATCAAGTCAATTGAAGGCACCTCAGTTCAACTGGATAAACATTTGATACAAGGTCTGGATAATCGTTCTTGTGACATGACATTGCCTATGACTTCAGAGGTGTCTTGCCGTGTTGGAAATCCTTGTTCAACAGAGTTGACTATGAGCAGGGATGTGATAAAGCATTCTGGAAACGTTATTGCATATGCGCCTATGGAAGCTTGTCAAAGCAAAGATCAGGTTGCTGTATCTCAGGGTCCTGATACTAAGGGAAACAATACGAGAACAGAAGATGGTAATGTTGACAGCGAGAGTTGTAAATTGAAGTTTATGAATGATCAGTCACTTGATTCACGGGGAAGTGGTGAGGGTTCTGCCAGTGATGAGGAAAAGATTAATATATCTGCAGATATGCTGGAAGATTCTTATGGTTCTGATTGTGAATCAGATGGTGCTCATGCTTTAGATACAACCATGGATACTGAACAAGATGGTAAACGTGATGATTATGAAGATGGTGAGGTCCAAGAGTCAGTTGAGCTTACTGCGGTAGAGGAACCTATTTGTAAGGCAAGAGAAGTGGAACATGACGATAATGATGATTTTGATAATAAAAGGACAGAGCTTGTGGCACCTATTAACAATGTTCAGCCTACATCATTCTATAATGAGGCAAAAGACAACAAAGACAATCTTGCTGAAACAAGTAACAATAATTATAAAGAATCTTTCCAGGTAGTTCGTAATGATAAATCCGATACGGGCTCTGATGAAGATATGAGTTTGCATGAAGAACCATTAGCTGTTGAAAATCTAACAAGCGGAGCTGGTGTGGAAGGGTCAACAGAACCTGATGATCAAGCAGTGAAGATGGATGCCCAGAAATGTCAGGATGCAGAGTTCTCCGAGCAAGTCAATAGTGGAAATCAAGGAACCGAAGTGGAAAGTGGTCAGGGTATAGAGCTGAATGTAAATAACACTGACCTGGCACCAATGGGTGACTCAAATTTGCCCAAAACATCCAGTAGTGGTGATAATGCTGCCAAGGATACCAGTTATGGAGGACAACGGAGCAGGATAATAACTTTGCCACGATCTTCAACTGTTTCTCCGAGTAAATCAATATCTATTTCGGGACAGCCTTTGCCGTCAAGGGTTGGAAGAGAAATATTAACTGATGTAGAAATGGAGGAAGATAACATACATTCTCGAGGGAGGTGATTATTTTCCCTTGTTTTGTATTTTGACTTTTATTTGATTTTGAGGGTTAATAGTTGTATTCTAATCTAAAACTTTCTTCCTTTTTGCCATTTTTTCCAGAGGTGAACCGTATGTTCACAGAAACCTGGGATTTTCAAGGGAGCGATACCAAGATCAATCACTGAGATATCCTAGATTAGGTTCTGGACGTGGTAGAGGGAGGATGCATAGTCGTGGCGATTGGGTTTCTGATCGTAACTATGCTTCGGAGCTTTATAATAATCAAACAAACTATCGTGTCCCCAGACATAAATATGCACCTGATGTTTCTGATGCTGACCTTGAATATAACACTTACAATATGCCTCCAGATAGTGCATTTTATGGTGCAGGTCGTGGAGGAAGGAAGCTTTCAAATGATGGACCACTTAACTACCGTATACCCTCAAGGAGGCGGTCTCCTGTTGGAGCGCACACCATTTACATGCCTCGCCGAAATCCAAGAAATGTTAGCCCAACCAGATTCAACGGTGAAGATGCTCCAAATTTGGTTGGAATGAGGCATAATGAGAAGTTTATGCGGGGTTTCCCTGATGATAGTGCAGACCCCATGTTCACTCGTAGCCAACCTTCATATGAGGGAGTGCATGGTCAATTTGGACGAGGCAATCGGAACTTTTCTTTTGCACAGAGGAGAGGGATTCCCAGAGTTCGCTCAAAATCGCCAATAAGGTCCAGGACTCGCTCTCCTGGGCCATGGTCTTCTCCTAGAAGAAGATCCCCAGATGGATTTGGTGGGCCTAGAGAACTGACTCATCGAAGGTCTCCACCAGTTTACAGGATGGAGAGGTTTAGATCCCCTGATGACCCATGTTTTCCTGGAGAGATGGTGGTTAGAAGGAATCCGTCAAATGATTTGAGGAATATGGATCCTGGAAGAGACCACGGCCCTCCAAGGTCTGTTATTCCCAATGGGAGTCCTTCTAGCCGGAGTTCAGTCAGAAACAGGAGATATGATGTCATGGATCCTCGAGAGAGGCCAAATAATGGCGATTACTTTGGGGGCCCCATGCATTCTAGCCGTTTGCATGAGTTTGGTGGTGATGGAAGTGGTGATGATAGAAGAAGATTTGCTGAGAGACGTGGACCCATCCGTTCATTTAGACCTTATAATGGTGTTGGTGGTGAGACATTTCATCTTAACGGAGAGGATGGCCCTAGGCCTTTGAGGTTCTGCCCGGATGATAATACCGAGTTTCAAGAAAGAGGCAATTTGAGGGAAAGGGACTTTGATAGAAGGATTAAGAATCGGCCAGGAAATGCTCCTAGAAGAATGAGAGGGATCGAAGACCAAGAAGCTAATTGCAGACATGGTGAACAGCCTTGGCATGATGATGTGTTTGATGATACGTCACAAGTGAAGAGAAAAAGATTTTGAGTTTGCTTCTGCCATGACCTTGAATTCGAGATTGGTTGTTCATGTCTGGCACACAGAATAGTCACTTTTCAGGGACATTCTATTGACTCAAAGCATCAAAACAAGGTGCCAATCTGTTTGCATATGATGTTCTGTGGTTTCAGGACTGGATGCAAATACAACCTTGCTTAATTGTCTCCCATGTAAATAGTTTGCATCTGGTACTATGGTGGTTACTGGTTAGTTCTTCTCGATGCTCATATTACAGTAATTATGGGTTTTACATGTAGTGCCTAAATTTCATTAGCAATATTTATACTTGCCATAGGTCTCGGTTGCACATCAAGGTCATTATCGTTGAGTTAGCCATTTAAACGCTTATGTGAAGATTCTCCTTAGTTTCTGAGTTATGTTTCTGCATTGGTATTGATGCTTGGTGAGCGAGGGCAGGTATCCTACTAGGAGCTGTCATCACTCTTAACTAGTATTTAGGCCACAAAAGCTCCAATTATAACTGCGTCTCATCACTTTCTTCACGTCCATCTTCCTGTCGCACCTTGTGTGACCTCAGATGAGAAGCCCATCGGTACAGTTTGATCTTAGGTTCGAAAATTTTCTTCGTTCCTGGTTATGCAACCTGCAGCAATCAGCAGAGAAGCAGATCTTGTACACGCTTTCAGTATAGAACATCTTATTGGTTGGAGGTTGTAATGAATAATGATATGCAGAAATGTTGGAAACTGATGTGAAGGAGAAGTTTGCTCCATTACTTCTTATGCATGAATAATGGAACGGGGCTTTGTCGGCAAGTTCTGGATCGGCTGCTAAGCTTACTAGTACTGAAGTCCACAGGTGAATAATGCTCTGTAGGAGGTTGTTTATATCTGTTGATCTGTTCCTTGTTTTGTTGAATGGTGGGTAGCTGACATGCCATTAGGGAACTTAGAAACATATTTGTCTGAACTTCCTGGAGTTGTCATGCAACGCTTTGTGCGCTTCTTATGCGCAGTTAAATGCCAGCTGGAATCAGCCACAAAACGGGGAAATGTTGGGTGTATAATCGGTTACGTTGTGGAGACAGTTATCCCCTGGAAATTTAGTACATTGAGATTTCTCAAAACTGGAAAAAGTAAGTTGGTTTTTGAGTGTCTGGGCAATGAAGGTGTCGGGAAGTCTTAGAACTAGTGGAGGTATTGAGGTAGAATTGCTGCTTATGTGTTTCTTGTGCTACTTTCCTTCCTCATTAGATCAGCAGCAAGTGCCGTAAGACCCGGTTGCCGGCCAAACTTGCTGTAAGACCCGGTTGCCGGCCAAACTTGTCGTAAGACTCGGAACTGCCCTCTGCATCTAAATAAAACCTAAAAATCTATTAATAAGTGGAGGTTGCAGACGAGTAGGGGGGTGAAGTGAATTTACAATTTTGACTGAGCATTTCACTTGTGGCATGGAATGGAATTACTTTTATGAGTGGGGGCATTTATGGAATTTTACTGAGTTGATTTCCAATTTTCTGTTGGTATTTACATCGTCGAATGCCAGAAAATGACAACCTTGTTTACATATGGATGTGATGTGATCAAGTTTAAACATTTTGAATGTGACATGATCAAGATTAATTTTGGATTAATGCAAGCTTATTTGATATTTTTATTGAAATTGTAAAAAACTAGCATTGTTTGACAAGATCAATGATTCAAGTGCAATATAGAGTAGGCACACTAACTTTCGTTACTGTAAAGGATAAATTTTAGGAAAACTAATGAAAAGGGGTTGAAAACTTTGAGTTTTAACGAAAATGACAAAAAGATGTTGTAAATGAATAGTAATATGATTGATCTTTTAAAGTAAAAATGTGGCTTTTTGTTAAAATGCACAGTACCGGAAGTTTTTCGTTGAAGCTTCCTAAATTTTTGCTCATTGGGTATGCGCATTGTCAAATTCTCATAATCACTTTTGCGAAGAAATACATAAGATGTGCGTTTTTGTAAAATCACTTTGAGAAGCACATTAGAGGTGTTTTTGTATAAAATAAAGTCATTTTCATGTGATTTTATAGAGAAGCACTTCTCATGTGCTTCTTCCCTTTCCAAACAGGAATTATATGAAAATCGTCAATATTATTACAAAAATAAAATTAGTTAAATTAAAGACTACCAAAATTAAAAATCTAAGTAAAAACACGGAAATGTTCCTTTTATTGGAAAATTCCATGGGGTTCATTTGGTCCTAGAGCCAATGTGAGAGACTGTAATCAAACTTCAACCATGTCTTCCTTCTTAGTCTTTTTTTTGTTAATCCAAAAATTTATTTATTTTGCCCTCCAAAAAAGGAAAAAAACTTGAAAAAATAGAATTATTATTTTCACCTAGAAAAATAAAAAATCGTGTACGCATTTTTTTTTATTACTAAAGAGGAGTGTACGGTCATTTTATAATAGTGCTAATAGTAATTCTCTTTATTGAGGTCACATTTGTATGACCTATTAGATATCTTTGGGCTAGTACTTTCACTAACACAGCTCATTGAACTGTCTCATTCTGATTTTCACATCCCTACAATCCAAGTTTCGACTAGAAGAGAAAAAAACAAGTATGATCTAATTCATCATTGATTTTGAACACAGGACACGATAAGTTGAAGAAGAAGACCATATCTATCATAGCTATTCACTGCTTGCCAAAAACACTAACTTTTCAAAATTTATCAGTAACACGCTTACAATGACACTTGGACTATGTTGGAGTAAAGAATTTCAAATCTTAATTATTGATGTCAAGATATTAAGGAATGGTTTTTTAGCTGAGATTTACATACACATCACTTTGGTTATTGAGATTGAAAATCAATAGAAATGGTCACTGAGATTGTCCACCATCCATTATGTTGGTCATTCCATTAAAAACTTCGTTAAGTGTCCTGGAGCTCTTAGCCGGAAGTTTGGACAATTTTCAAAGCTTCATAACTCAATCGTTTCTTAATCAAATTCGACCCATAATATATCAAAATGAAGATAGGAAAGTGTAGAACAAGATTATACCTATTCGGAAGCCCAATGATTGCCGAAGATGGCAGGAGAATAGCCTGATAGGTGACTGGTTCATGGGAAAACTGGAAAACTTGCAGGAAACTGGGTAAACTTTAAACGTTCATAACTTATTCAATACTCAATGAAATCGAGTGATGAACGTTTAAAGGTTACCCAGTTTCCGGAGAGTTTTCGAGTTTTCCTACGGAACAATCACCTTTCAGGCTATTTTTCGGCCATCTTCGGCAACATTGGGCTTCCAAATAGGTATGATCTTGTTCTACACTTTCCTATTTTCATTTTGATATATTATGGGTCGAATTTCGTTAAGAAACGATTGAGTTACAAAGCTTTGAAAATTGCCCAAACTTTCGGCTAAGAGCTCTGGGACACTTTACCGAGTTTTTAACGGAATGACCAAAATAATGGATGGTGGACAATCTCAGGACCATTTCTATTGATTTTTAATCTCAAGGGCCAAAGTGATGTGTTAAACAAATCTTATGGACCATTTTGGCTAAAAAGCCTTAAGGAATGGATCAAAAAAGTCAATGCACCATATAAGCATTACAAAGACATGTAGAAGAAATTCGTAAACCTTTCTCACATATCTTTGTTATGCTTATGTGGACTATTTTAAATCCTTTTACAATATTTTATGATCCATGTTTACTTAACAAAACAAAGTTAATAACGGTTATTAATAAGGGCAATCCTATCCCTATTGTAATTAAAAAAAATCTTTGGGTACTATTATTCCCACACGCCTATTAGTGAAAAAATGTTCATGACAAATGGATATAAGTCGAGTGAAAATATGAAGAATTCTCACTCTCCTCCTCATAAAGCCTTGAGGAAAAACGGAATACTAGCATGATCAATCTTAATTATGCATGTTCAAGAGAAGTTATATTTTCCCCTTCAGAATAAAATTGTTTAGTTATATCACACATATTCTTTCAATATAGACTTCTTCGTATTAGTACATCAGTGTTACGGTGTAGTTTTAATCCTTCACACATACATGATTACACTCATTGTGAAAAAAAACCATGTCATTATAAATCATATTCCGACAAGCACACCCTCTCCCTCCACCACTAGCGACCTAGTAATGAAATCTCCTTTTTCCTTAACACCAACAGGCGAGACCAGTAAGATCACTAACCTCTCTTGTTGCCAATAAAAATGTGAGGGAGAATCGGAGAGCCGCAAGAGATCAGGGGAGGAGGCGTCAACAAATTTTTTTCATATTATATTTTGAATTGAGTAAGACACGTGCATAATTAAATTGGCGTCACATTGACGTTTGAATTTGCTTTCTTTTTCTTTTGATACTTCCAAATGTCCTTCATCATAATTTGAATTTGACTTGCCTTAAAATATTGCTTAAATAAAAGAAATAATTGTTGGCAGATGGTGCTTTATCACAATAGTGGAAAATAATCATGTTTATATACCAAGATACGAGTTTGATCTCCACTAATTTCTTTTTTCCCTGATAACTAACTATTTAACCTACTAACGTTATGGTTTGTAAAAAAAGAAAAATTGTTGAGCTTAAGAGGGTAAACTTGACATCAAATTTGTAAATAAAATTTGGGATCCAACTTCAATCGTACATAACATTGAGTCATACAAATTTTCAGTAAGATTAACTATTACGAATTTCATTAGATCCATGTATGTAAGATTTAATCGTTACTCAGGTGCGAATAGAAAACCCCAATTTATTTATTTGTCACAATAGTGGAAAACTAGACTCGGCAAACGGTCGTGTTCATTTCGTGTTCGTGTCATATCCATTATTTTAATATATAAAAATCTTACCGTAATAAATTATTAACAAGTGACTCTGTAGCTACTCGATTAGTTAACGAGTTATATCATTTCGTATCAAGTTAATGAGTCATGCAAGAAATTGTTATGCTTAATATCTAAATGACAAATAAGTCGTATTCGTATCGTTTACGTGTATACTCGTTATCTTAACAAGTTCCTAACATTTAACTTGATAAAAATCCGAATAATGTTAACCCAAAACCTATTATTTTTATGTTGTCTTGGTCAACCGCCAAACACCAAGTCCTCCTAAACCCGCAAACACGACCCAGGACCCAACATAGACCCCCGGTCGTTGAACCTCAAACCCTCCCTCCCTCCCTCCTCCTTTCTCTCTGCATCTTTCTTCCGCATATCTATATCGCTGTTCTCGCCAATCTGCCCCTAATAATTTTTATTAATTTTTCTGGCTTTTTATAAATTTCATTCGTGCTATCGGGTATTGATAATTAGGTTTTTTCAGTCCAAATTCTTTTTTTTTTTTTTTTTTTTTTTTGCGTCTTCTTGCTCGTTCTTGTTGTTGATCTCAGTCTGTTTTCTGGGTTTTTTCTCCGCCCTCCGATTCCATTTATCAGCTTTCTCGTAAGTCAAACTGCGTTTCGAGGTTGATGCCCTGCGTTTTGTTTGAAGGTACCGATTTTAATTGGCAATCAATTAGGGTTTTGGATTCTTGTTATCGAAGATTTTTGGGATTTTTACGTGGATTTTGTAGTATGTTTGACTATTTTGTTTGTTTGGTTAATTTATGTTTTGATTTATTGTAGCAGGATGCTAAAGATATGATGAATCAAGGAGGTAATACCGAGACGATAGCTCCACTGGACCCGAATTCGCTTGAGGTGATTACTACTAAGCCCGCTTCTCTGTTACGATTTTTGTATTAAATTCTGATTGACGGTAGGAGATTTCGATTTCAAACAGATTTGTTGCCATATAGAATGTGATTTAAATTTATTTTCATATGTACTCTCTAAGCATAGCCTCGCCCGCATTTGGTAGATTAGCTGTAAAAAACTTAGTTTTTTTAGTATAGCTCAAAGGATTATCTGGGTGTTGTTCTCTTAGGCAAAAAATTATCTTACCAAATGGCCTGTACTGCTCGTCTGTAGTGGATGCTAAGCTTGTTGTCTCTGATTTTCCATTTGTTATATTCCGTTCAGTTTACTTGACATGTCTACCAATTTTATGATAGCCATTTTTTAGTTGGCTCTGTATAATTTTTCATATCTATATATTAATACCAATTGATTATTGCTTTTTGAATGGCAATACTGATTAATACAATTTTGCATTTATTTGTGTTTTAGAATCGGTATATTATTAATGCAAACCAAGGACAGACGCCTTCATATCCTCCTCTTTCAACAACTGGTTCAGAAGCCTCGTCCTGGAGCGTTCATAGGACGGACAATAGCTTGACAGATAATGGGGTTCATTCCCATTCAACCTATCAATACGATCAGCAACCACAGCCGCCTGGGAGTAGTACATCGAGTTTGGGAACAGTAAATGTACCACAAGATTACAATAGTTATGCTTCATACCAACATTCTTCAGATACATATGGTTATGGAAGCGCAGGGTACCCAGGTTACTATAACAACTATCAGCAGCAATCCAACACTTCCTACTCACAGCCTGTAGAAGCATATCAAAATACAGGTGCTCCTTATCAGCCTCTTTCCTCATTTCAGAATACAGGGTCTTATGCTGGGTCTGCAAGTTATTCAAGCACTTACTACAATCCTGCTGATTATCAGACAGCTGGAGGTTACCCAAGTAGCAGCTACAATAATCAGACTACCTCTTGGAGTGACGGAAATTATGCAAATTATATGCCTCATCAATATTCACAGTACACCCCGGATACCACTGCTGCATATAGTTCTAGTACTGCGACTTCAACTTCACAAAATTATGAGCAGCACTACAAGCAATGGGCAGATTATTACAGTCAAACAGAAGTCAGCTGTGCTCCCGGTACTGAGAACATTTCTGTTACAAGTACACCCAATGTGGGATGTCTGGTTCCAGGTGCTACCACCGGGTATCAAACCTTGGACAGCCAGCTACCACCACCACCACCACCACCACCTTCATATGCTCCTTCTTGGAGGCCAGAACCCAGTCCATCTGAATTGCCATCAGTGCAGGTTTGAATTTCCTTCCGCGGAGGGTTTTTGAAAAAGTTCCGTGCCCTCATATGCCAGCTCTTCTTGATATGGTGCATTGTTGAATTCTATTAATGATCCTATTAATGATCCAAGTCTAAGTATTCATATGATTGAAACTGTCATTAATGAGTGATATTGTCATCAAAGATTATTGCTAGTGCACATGGTAGCTATACTTCAGATTTGTGCATCATCACATATATAGCCTTTATTTTTGTTTTATGTTTTGTTTTAGCTTACTTTTAATCTTTACATTTTAAACCAACCATTAGATAGAGTTCCATGATATTTCTGACAACTGCAGTTGATGGTTTATCTAATGATATTGATCTGATGTTAAATTCGAATATCTCTATAGTCATTACTATGCTGTTGAAATATGTTTGGTTAGTAAAATTCTTGTCGTTATTCTTTGGCTTCTCAGTCTGGTGCTGTAGTTATTGGTGCTCATGATGGTTACTGGAATCATGGGGCTCCAACTTCTCAATCTCAAGTTCACCACAATAGTTCTATGCAACCACAGTTCCAAAAACCTTTGGATGAAAAGGCTTCTTATGATAGCTTTCAGGATCACCGGAAAACTGCATTTTCTCAAGCACCCAACGTGCAGTATCCTGCTTCTCAGCAGGTGCCCCATGCCTCTCATACTTACCAATCACCCTTGCAACCTGTTCCATCCCATGCGTCTCATACTTACCAATCACCCTCACAACCTGTTCCATCCCATGTGTCTCATACTTATCAATCACTGTCCCAACCTGTTCCATCCCCTGTGTCTCATACTTATCAGTCACCCTTACAACCTGTTCCATCTCATACTTACCAATCACCCTCCAAACCCGCTCCACCTATAGGTACACAAAGAGATGATAAACTGCAGATTCCAACAAACCCTAGAATCAATTCAAATCCAACCTTTGGGTTACCAAAAACTGACAAGGATAGCTGTACAACCACTGCAGCAGAAAAACCTGCTTATATCAGTGTTTCACTTCCAAAGCCGGTTGACAAGGTGACATCCAGTGCCACTGCTGATTCTCTACTTAAGGTATGTCTTCTGCTTTGATGACTGTTGCTTTTTTAAGTATCAATTCCCAGTTATTTCTTTCCAGACTGACTACTAAAATACTAAAGATGTGATGGTCGTTGCTTCTCATCTTTTCTTCCAGAAATATGTTAGGAGTGGAAGTTTGTTACCTCTTAAGATACTCTTCTTAGGTTGCGAGCTTGCTATTCTGCTATGTTAACTATACATGGTTCTTAAATTGTAACATAACATAAATTGCCTTTCCTTTTACCAACCCTTTTTAAATGCAAGCATGTACTGACATTCTGCTACTTTTAAGAAAACAAAATGTTGATAGCGATGGGGCAGCATACAGTCCTACAATGAATAAGCAATTAATTAAGCAGTTGGCTTTGGAATGAGCGTGCTCTTTTAAAGGGAAAAGTGAGGCAATTGGCCTTAAAATTTAGAATAAAAAAGGAAGATTTTGTCACTTCAACATTTATTTGTATACTTGTTTTTCTAGTAGGATATCTGGAATAATAAGTGGAGAATAATGGGGGAATTCTTTCCTGCAACTTTGTAGAAAAAAGGAACTCTCCTTTCTGAGTTTTCTCTGAAACTTTTCAATTGAAGAGTTCATTCCAAACATATAAATAACATGAGATGAACCTACACCTCTAAGATGAAGGATGATTAACTCTAGAGCCATTTGAAATTTCCCAGGGCTTGCCTTATGATATTGTTTTGATACAAATTGATCGTAATGAAATAAAATGTCATTCCTCTCTTAAAGTCCAAGAACTGATGCAAAATCTAGCGAACAGTTATAATTAAGCTATAGGCACTCAACTCTGATTGTGGTTGATAGGTGCACCGCATGTTTTTAGCACCTTAATTCGTTTTGAATACTTAATTGTTTAAATTGATCAACCAATGTGTGTTTGGAGATTTCTGCAGCATCCTACCAACATGGTTTCCTATAATGTGTTTTTATTGTTTTGGGTGTTATGCATGTCTTTATCCTCTCCTCGTATGTCATAACATTACGCACAGAATGGTAATGTAGTTCATGACTCAGTAAACTATGCTGTAGCTAATGAATATGAATTTATTTATTTATGCATCTTTTTTCATTTTCAGCCTGGTATGTTTCCCAAGTCGCTGCGTGGTTATGTCGAAAGGGCTTTGGCTCGCTGTAAAGATGATAGGCAAATGGCTGCATGTCAGTCTGTCATGAAGGAGGTAAGCCAAATTGGTTAGAAGTTTTTCTTTGCCAACTTTGAAATCATACATGTTGATGGACTCTTGCAAACTCCCCTTTTTGGCATGACTTTTGGATTTTTTATCAATTGTAGTCGCCCTTAGTAACTATTATCTAATATGTTGTGATGATAATAAAACCACTATATTCGTTATTGTGAAGAGTTGAGTCTTGAGGTTTTTGCAAAATGAAATGATTTTCCATGACCCAAAACCTCCTGCATGTTCTATGACTTACCTGCCACGTAATATATTTATCTGAAGTACTATTACCTATCTATGAACATCAGTTTACCATTAAATGTCATATTGCATCTTCCACAAATGTTCATCTGATGGTTCAAATGAGTGCAATGTTTATGATTCATGGAAGCATTTTGCTTTCAAGTGTTTGTATGTCAAGAAACTTTTGTTTGCAAATTGAGGCAGATGCACTTCTGGCTTGCTGCTCAATTCTATGTCAGTTTCATGGACATGAAGCACTCAATAATGTATTTTTTCTCCTTATTAACTCCATACTTCTCAGTTCTCAGTGCAATGTTTCAAGAAACATTTCCTTTTTTGGAGTATCTGTATATCTTGGAACTTTTGTTTGCAAATTGAGGCAGATGCACGTTCTGGGTTGCTGCTAAGCTGCTTAACTTTTTGTTAGTTTCATGGACATGAAGCATGCAATATTTTTTTTCCCTCGATGCTGCTTGTGTGTGTGATTTTTTAGATGGGATGTATATGGTGTGTAAAAGTACTTAATTTTCGTTTCAGATTATCACCAAGGCAACAGCTCATGGTACGCTTTACACACAGGACTGGGATACTGAACCTCTTTTCCCTCTGCCAAATGAAGATGCTATTAATAAAGAGCCTCCCTCCGTGGGCTTGTATGTTTACATTACATTTATGCACCTTGAACTCATTTATTCATGAATATTTTGGTAACCATTGTATGAAAAGTGATCATCCATTAGTCAGTTTTGGTTTGTTATTTTGTCACATTTCCTAACCTACTCTATGTGGGTTGATTAGTTTAATGAGAACGCTAGGGAGACCATCTTTTTAGACCACATTTTATAGATTATATGATGTGGCGGTTGATGGTTTGATTCTATCTTTAAATCAGTAAATAAGGGACTCCACCCATCAAGCTCCAGCTCACGTGGTCTACAAAATATGGTTTAAGTAAATGGTCTCTCTAGAATCACCCTTAGTAACATTCGTTGCAAGGTTTTAGATTCCAATGTATAGACCATTGACCTTTAAGTGCTCTGGTTGTGCAGCAGTTTACAGTCTTCAAACCTTGTTTCGTCATTGCCAAAGTACAAAAGAAGTCCGAATAAACGATCCAAGAGTAGATGGGAACCTCTACCGGAGGAGAAGCCAGTTGAGAAACCGGCATCTGTCAACAATGACAGTTTAAAATTTTCTTGGATGAATGTCAATGATAAGCAAAGAAAGGTAATTATTTTGTCAACCAGTCTTTTTATTTATTCTTGGGAAGGAAACCCAATTGTCTTAATCTTAAATACATATTTTTTATGTAGAGATGCATATTTCATTTTTACTTACATTATCTGGAATATACATGATTCAAGCATAAAAGCTGTCAAACATTTCTAGCTTACCCTTGTATAATGTGGTGTTCACACATGTAGCCATGGATGGGGAGTGCTGGATTCAAAGATGGTAATACAAGTAATGGAAAGTTTACTCCACAGGAGCAGAAAAATGGAAGTAAGATAACCCAGAAACCATTTAAGAAGCAGCGCCTTTCTTATGTTTTAAGTACTGCTGAGAACGATGATGCATCTAGTGATAGTGACGAGGAACAAAGTTTAACCTCATATTACACTGGAGCAATGGGCCTTGAGGATTCACCAGAGGAAAGAAAGAGACGTGAAAATCGCTCTAGGCGTTTTGAAAGAGTGCAAGGACATTGGGCACAAAATAATCACTTCAAACCAAAAAAAGCTGGTGGTGGAAACTTGTATGCCAGAAGGGCTACTGCCTTGGTGCTTAGCAAAAATTTTGAAGATGGTGGCAGCAGGGCAGTTGAGGACATTGACTGGGATTCTCTTACTGTTAAGGGGACCTGCCAGGAGATTGAGAAACGTTATTTGCGCCTCACTTCCGCTCCTGATCCTGCTACTGTAATAATCTCTATCTCATATCTTTCTTTTCTATGAACATTCTAGTTAAATAAATCAAATGAACTGGTGAAGATGATGTGTGATGTAACTAATCTGCTACAGAATCTGTTCTACCTGACAGGTAAGGCCAGAGGATGTTCTTGAAAAAGCTCTGCTTATGGTACAAAATTCCCAAAAGAATTACCTATATAAATGTGATCAGTTGAAGTCCATTCGTCAGGATTTGACAGTGCAACGAATTCGCAATCACCTAACAGTAAAGGTATATTTGATATCATATGGTCTTTATTAATCCTTTATCATATGGACTCTAGTTTATTTACCCTTTTTCTGCTGCCTGACTACCATATCTTTCAAAACTGACTGTTGACTACTTAAATCAACTTAACCAGGTCTTTTCGGCTAATTAGAGTCACTTTGATCACCCATAATTTTTAGCATTTACTTCTTTACATCCTAATACAACATTTAAACTTTTGCTGAAGTTTTTTTATTTTTTCAAATTATGTTATCTGTAATATTATCTTTCATTTTCAACTACCGACCCCAATCTTTGTACGAGTTATGTTCACATCAGTTTGTCATTCATTCTGCCTAATTTCCTGACCAGGTGTACGAAACCCATGCTCGCTTAGCAGTGGAAGTGGGGGACCTGCCCGAGTATAATCAGGTTGGTGATCTTAGTGTGGTTGAAAACAATTTTGTAAATACTTTACGGCATGACACAAATAAGATGACAATAGAAGAACTTTACCTTGCCAAGGGAGGTTGTGGTAATTATCTGTGGGAATCAATAAATTTGATTAGTTTGGCTTCAAAACTGATAATTCTTTATAACTTTTTATTCGAGATACGAATTTATCCGACGCAGTTAAAAGTTTATGCACCTTTTTTCAGAAAGAAAAAGAAACAAATATTGTTGCGCAATTTTAATATTTGAAGGTATTTATTCCTCATAAGTTCAGGTGTCGAATAACAGTCTTTCATGTTGTTTTCAGTGTGCGTCACAGTTGAAATCTCTCTATGCTGAAGGTATTGAGGGATGCCATATGGAGTTCTCTGCATACAACTTACTTTGTGTTATCCTTCACTCAAATAATAACAGAGATCTAGTATCATCAATGGCAAGGTCAGTAACTCTCAAGTTAAGATGACTTTTCTCGTATGGATATTGTGGCTTCTTACTATATTCAGGTCTCTTCTTTTTTGTTGATTAAAGTTCCATAAAAACTCAGAGTCATGAACGGGTCCATAGGTAGTGAACTTTAGTTTATAGAAAATTAGAAATACACATTTGGCAGATATTGGGACACTAAAAAGTTACAAAGATATGTTTTATTGTCTTCTACTTGACTATCAACAATGTTATTCTATATTTCAAATACGGAGTAGAAATAAATTTGTGCATGTCCTATATTGCCTGGTTGTGTGAGATAACAAGTTTGGTGCAGAATCGAAATTTAAGAAATTAATGATTGGTCACCTGATTTTTGATGGTAATGACTACTCTTTCGCCAAAAAAAGAGATTATATTTGATGAAATATGAATCAAACCATTATTGCAATTTTAGCTCTTTGTTGCACTGTAGTGTACGATTATTGCATGCAGAGCAAAAGTGATATTTCCCCCTTCCAGTTTATCAAACCATGTAAGATGACCCTGAATATATTGTTCAACGTTGTTGAATGTAGCTTGTCAGTTGAAGCGAAAAGAGATGAAGCTGTTAAGCATGCTCTTGCGGTTCGTTCAGCTGTGACTTCAGGAAATTATGTTATGTTCTTCAGGCTCTACAAGACAGCTCCGAACTTGAGCACCTGCCTTATGGGTGAGCATCTCTTTCAAATGAAATTATCTTTTACATTTTGGATTATAAAAAATATAAAAAAGGATTATTGTATAATAACTCTTCCTTCTGCAGATCTCTATGTTGAAAAGATGCGGTATAAGGCAGTGAGCTGCATCTGTAGATCATATCGGCCTACGATACCTGTTCCTTACGTTGCTCAAATTCTGGGATTTACCACCATTACACCCACAAATGAGGAAAGCGAGGAGAAGGATTCAGAGGGATTGGACGAATGCATTGAATGGTTGAAAGTACACGGTGCATGCCTCACTGTTGATAACAACGGAGAAATGCAGCTTGATACAAAGGTAGGTTTTAATTACACAAATTTTGCTCACACGGATATACACATTCCCCTGTGCTAAATTTATTTTCGATTGAATGGCGCATTAGCTGCTTGATGTCTACTTGGTGGCAATTGCTATGTATACAGTGGCTTGAAATGGTTATGTTTGATGTGCAGCCTACGTCCTCAAGTCTTTACATGCCGGAGACTGATGCGGTGTCCCACGGCGATGCCACTCTCGCCGTTAACGATTTTTTGACAAGGACACCTTTATAGCTAATTTGTTAGTACCCGATTTTATTTTGAGTCTCAGAGAGCGGTGGAAGAAGATGGTGCCTTCAGAATCTAATGCAGAAGAAACGAGCGGGCAACTTCCCAGAGTGGTAGGGCATTCGGGGTTCCCTGTAACATTAGAGAAAGGAAAAAGAAAAGATAGGTTAGTGTTGTGTAATTGGAATATTTGATGAAAAAGAATCCGAATTAGGTAACATGTAATATCCATTCTTTCTTTTTTGGGCGATAGAATATGGTAAATACACAAAGAGAAGAAAGAATAAGAAATTTTTAAAAATTATTTGCTGAGATTAATCTGTACTTTTGAGTATATTATTTTGGTATTTTAGCCATTAATTATTAGGAAAACTAATGAAAATTGCTTGAAAACTTTGAGTTTTAACGATAAAGATAAAATAAAGGGTAGAGTGAATAGTACTAGGATTGATTTTTTAGTGTAAAAATGTAGTTTTTCGTTGAAGTGAACAATATCGTGGATTTTTCGTTAAAACTTTCTTAATTATTTTGGTCTTTTTGGGAAAACTCTCTTAAATAAGTACTCAAAAAATATCAAAAATGCCAGCAATAAACAATGGTCAAAATGATTTGACAAAAATTAAGAATATTTTTGTCATTTTGTCATATTTAACGATTTTTTTACAAAAATACTAAAGTGATTGATGATGAACAAACTCAGGGATCCGTGTTATTGATTTTATTTTATATTGATGATAAATTATGTGATTTGTTAATTTAGTTTACAATTTTGATTTTTCTAGCATTACTCTTTTCATTATAAAAAAATGCTTACATGACTCGATAAATGGTGAATTTTTTTTTTCCGTATTCCTTGAGTTGTACATAAAAAAATCTTGAGAAAACTCAGCGACGTTTATATGGTTGAAATGTGTGCTATAATTAACGGAAAAAAATGATTACCCTGCCGAGCGTTTTCCTCTCATTTGAGTAACTCAAAAGTATAATCTTATAATCAAAGGTTGAATTTGCATTACAAAAACAAATCAAAATTTACTAGAATTTAATACTAGAATAATCACATATATAATTTAATTTATGTTCACTCCTTGGGCGGAGCAGACTGTCACTGAGGCCACACTCACCTTCTCCTTCTCATACTGAAGTTCTCGTACTTAAGAGCAACTACAGCATATCAAAGGTCTTCAGGGCAACTTCTTATTCAATCCCCTCTAGTGAACCGTAACTACTTTTAATGAACAATAATTGCTTTTTGCATCTTCATCCCTAACTGAATATCCATAGCAATAAGCAATAAAATATTAGTATTTTTTATTTTATAAAATAATTTTATTTGTAATTTCGGATAAGATTTTTAATCGTTCTCATTGTGCCACGTGTCATTATCCGAAAAGACAATTTTTTATGATAGATTTCAATAAGATTTTTATCTAATGCTGTCGTACCACGTGTCGTTACCTTTTCAGAATCGTTGAGGATAGATTTCCGATAAGATTTTTAACCAATCACGTCGCGCCACTTGTCACAATATGTTTGCCATCTTTGAAGATAGATTTTGATCAAATTTTTAACGAATGACAGCATGCCACATGGTGTTATCTACAACATAATCCTTTCTTTTTCCTCCTTATAACCCACCATCCATCTTAAGAAATCACACACCAAAATCAAAATCTCTATCATTATTTATAGTTTCTGCTTATTTCTTACAATGTCTTCTTCGTTGTGGGAAATCGATGAGCAAGAGAAATAATTGTTTAAGCAAGCAGAAGAAACGTTCAATCTCCATGTGGGCAAAAATAAGATGGAAGAGGAAGAGGAGCATAGAAGGAGAGATGACGAAGTAAGAAGCCAAAGAGCCTTACATTCCCGTCGAGTCATCCAAGTTGTGGCTCAGATGTCCAGGTCCAGCCGTTCTGCAAACATTGATAGAAGCAAGCATCGATGAGGTACGGATCTGAACCAGCACAAAGTAAACCTGAACCAGCACAACTGACTACCCATGATACTTCAACACGCTCTTCCCCGTCTGCCAACTCCACCAGCAACAGCGCCGTTAGACCCAGAACTGTGATTTGCTCGTTTAACCTCTCGCTGTACGGGCTGAACCCGAAATCCACCTTCACCCCCTAGACACCGGCTCCTTGAGCGGCACCAGTGGAAGGTACAAGTTGGATGCGGACGAGGATCCAGAACCGCTTTTGGACTTCCGGGTCTTCCATACTCCCGTTTTCTTTCCAGTGTCGCTGCGGTATCGGAGTCGGACCTGGCTCAGCTTGCTGTCGAAGTCATCCGGGCCTGAACTAGATTCGGGCGATGGCTCGGGGGTGGCGTTTCCGGGTCGGTGGCTCAGGTTGCGAAGGAGAATAAGGGTTTGCGCGAGTGGGGTTTGGTCGATGAGGACACAAGTGGGAATAGGTTGGGGAAGTCATCCAGGCCTGAACCAGATTCAGGCGATGGCTCGGGGGCGGCCCTCGGTCGGTGGCTCGGGTTGTGAAGGAGAAGAAGGGTTTGCACGAGTGGGGTTTGGTCGATGAGGACACGAGTGGGAATGGGTTAGGGAGTTGTAGGGAAGTGGCATTGTCGCCATTATCTTGCTGCTGAAAAGGTTCAGCTCGTGGAGCCGTCTGTTTTCTGTTTTGGATGAGGAATGCTCTCTGGAATTTTTTCTTTTAATTTTAATTAAATAATAAAATAAATACTTTTTATTAAATTTTATTACTTTGTTTTGGGTATTTTGAGTATGGAGAATGATTCTCTCTCCTTGTAATTTCCTCCCCCTTCACTACGTTCACATTTTCTTTCTTATCATTTTTTTTTCCTTATAAAAGTTTTAAAACAAAATATTAACGTGATTTAATCGCAACCATATAAATAGAAATAGAGAGAAGAAAGGGAGGGGAGAGAAATCCTGGTCCGTTTGGTATGGAGGCCATCGGGTGGCGGGAACCACCTGGGCTACTAGGTTTTGGATTAGGTGAATGTGTTGATGGAATTTTAATTTTAATGCGGTGAATGCTTTTAATCAAATAAGGTAAGAGTATCAGCCACTAGGGCTAGCCTAGTGGTGTTGGTGTGGGTAAGGGGTGGGCGTAGTCTAGGAGGTCTTGGGTTCAAGGTTGGGGTGGGTAAGGGATAAATTATGCTATTAAATGGTAACAAAGTCAAAGTGAGTTAATGTTATTTTATTATAAGGTTTTTATCACAAATGATCTCTGAAATTGACCCACCCAATCAAGATGGTCCTTGAAATTGAAAATCGTAGTCCCTGAAATTGGGTATCGCAAATCAATGTATTCCTTCTGTCACAATTTCGTTAAAAATTCTGTTATGTGTTGATGTGGCATATAATTGGGTTTCACAATATAATAAAATATTGCCATGTGGATTAAAAATATTTAAAGAATAATTAAAAAATTATTTTATATAATTAAAAAAAAAAAAAGAAAAAGAAGAAGAAGAAGATGACTGTTCATCATCTTCTTCCCCTCCTACCCGACGACCCACCATTCTCCTCCCCTTGAAATGGCACCTTCGCACCCTGTTCCCGCAGTCCTCGTGTTCGCCGGTGATAGTAATTCGAAATAAACCTCCCCGATGTTGCTCGACCTGGAGGTGCAGTCCATAGGGAGTGGGGCTGAGAATTCGTGAAAAGATGATGGCCATAGATACAATATAATATTTGATTTGGGTTGGTTTGATTTGGTATATAAGCAAAATGCAAAAAGCAGTTATAATCAGTGTTCTAAAAAACACCCTAGGCAGCGCCTTGGAACCGAGGCGATTTTGGGCAAAACGGCTGGAAAAATCGGGGTGGCTTTAGGCGGGCTAGGCGGTGCTAGGCGGTTGGGTGGTTTTTTTTTTTTAATTTTTTTTTTATATATTTTTTGTGAAATTTGTTTAAAGTCTAAGTTCTAATTATACCTTGAAATTTTGTTAATTTTATAGAATATGTGTGTTGTGTATCAACTTAAATTCCGGGATGCTAAAAATAAGTATTTTACATTACTAAATTTCCTTATTTTCCTCCTATTTTCCATTTTATGTTGTTTTAAATTGTGAACTTGTTGCACATGTGTCATCCTACAATACTCCTCACTATGGTTATATGACATATATGCTTAATGTGTTTTTAAATTTTGGACTTGTTGGATACTCTTTTTGTATTTTATCATTCTTTTATTATCTTATCCATGGATTTCATACAAGTATAATTTTTTGTAAGTGTTAATATGCATTTATTTACAAGATATACAAGAAATTTACCTAAATCCGCCTAGGCGCTAGGCGCTAGCCCGCCGCCCGACTAGCGCCTAGCGTTTTTTAGAACCTTGGTTATAATTAGTATGTGACTTATTGGTGCTTAGCTTGGGAGCAAAGCAGGTGCCACCGGCGAACACGAGGACTGTAGGAACGGGGTGCGACGACGCCGTTTCAAGGGGAGGAGAATGGGGAGGAGAATGGTGGGTCGCTCGCTGGGTAGAAGGGGAACAGTCATATTCACCTTCTTTTTCTCTTTTTTATTTTTTTTGTTTTTAATTATTATTTAAATACTTTTAATCCACATGACAATATTTTATTATATTGTGGAACCTAATTACCTATCACATCAGCACATAATAGAATTTTTAACAGAGTTGTGACGGAAGGACTATATTGATTTTCGACATCCAATTTCAGGGACTACATCGATCGATTTTCAATTTCAGGAACCATCTTGATTGGGTGGGTCAATTTCAGGAATTATTTGTGATAAAAATTCTTTATTATATTTATTTTTGTAAAAATAATAATTATATCGTTAGATCATGAAATCTGTACCACATAATCAATTCACATTTAAACAACAATATCAATCATTCATATTTACAATTTGATGACAAAATGCGATGTCAAATAGTCTCAATGGTCTTAGCCTTGAGATTTTTTTAGTTGGGTTGAGACCATAGAGTTCTTTCAAGCCAAGTCCTCGCTAGCTAAGTAACATTGTTCGTCACCATCTTACTCTCTTTATTATTATTATTATTTTGAACAAACGATATTATTAACCTTAAAAGAGTGAAGAAGTGGGCTAAGTTTCACAATAAGCTAGCAATATTGTGGTTCAAATTCGTTTTTGATGAAAATCAAATTTAAAACCTCTCACTTACATGTACTACTAAATCGCCCCTCTCTTTCTTGTTTGAATGGTAATTGTGCGGAACCCAACCGAACAAGTTGGACTAATGCCCATGTCCTTGACTAAGGGGCACATATTCCTCATCACGCAATGGGTAGGCAATTCTTTCATGCACATGACCACGTGATAATTA